AAATAAATGCATATAATTGCATATTTGGAATAAAAATTATGCATATATATGCGCATATTTTGATTGAATTTAACTGCATATATTCCGCGCTTTAGACATGAGTTATAATAGCCTCTTTAATTTGAGAGTTTGCGTAAGTAAGACATTGTCGGCAGAGATATTTTGTTTTTAATATGCTCAGTCATACCCGGCCAAAATAATGATTGTTGTGCCAATTTAGTACATTTTTCAATCCCTAAATGACTATAATGTATTCTATTTAGCACATTTCTTGCTGTAGCGCTTTAGGCACTACCAAGCTTTTATATTTAAAAATCAATCCGTCAGCAATTGTGAAGTCAGATTTATACGGTGCAAATAGTTTTACGTTACCATTTAGTTTTTTCAACGAATTAGGCCAACAGTTTAGAATTACATTATTTAGTTGTTTAAGAATGGGGTCGTTTTCTGTGCGATATTGAAAATCTTACTTTATTTTATCATCTGTAGCATTTAATTCCATTCTTACTAAACACATTTAACTCTCAATGTCCTTATCAAAGTACTCTTCTTCATTATCAATTACATATGCCCGAGAGAGAGCATCCACTAATATTAAATCTTTCCCCGGCTTAAACCTTAATTCTGTATCAAATTTTTGCACTTGCAGTATCATTCGCGGAAGTCTCACTGGACATTTATTTAGAGGTTTTTTGAAAATTGATATTAAAGGCTGATGATCGGTCTCCACGGTAACCCTTTGCCCATACGCATATTGATAAAACTTGTTTAAACCAAAGTATATTGCCTAAAGTACTTTGTCAATTTGTGCGTATCTTGTTTGTGTTTCTCTTAAAGCTTTTGAGGCATACGCACACGGCATATTGTTTTGCAATAAGCAAGCTCCCACTCCCGACTTTGAAGCATCAACTGAAATTACAATTTTTTTTATCTGGGTCAAAAAATTGCAATACGGGTGTATTTATCAATATTTCTTTTAAGTTTTGAAACGCCTTCTCATGTTCCTCGCTCCAAATAAACTCCATATC